GGGAGGCAAGTGTGGCCATCATACTGTCAGAGAGCTCAACATCTGGGTGGATCGGGAGGCAGGGGACATCAGGGCCAGGGGGTGGGGACAATGAGGCAGGGATAAAGGTGGCTTCTGGCTTTGGTGAAGGATGGGAGTGGAGGCAAGGGGGAGGTGTATGGGGAGTTCCTGGTGGCTTAGCAGGAAGGGTGTAGGATCTGGTCACAGTGCTGGGGACGATCCATCCTGAAGATGGAAAGCTCAGTTTGCTTCCTTGGTGAAACCTCCAGGGAATACCTCCTCCCTGCTTCCCGGGGTACAGAACCCAACATTGAATGGACCGGATACTCTGCCTCCAGATCAAGGGTCAGCCCGGAACCCAAGCTAAGCTAATAGAACAGAGGCTCAAAGGACTGAAAATCAGCTGACATGCCTTAGAAGCACGAAGAAGTTTCTGCCTTCTTCCTCAGGGCTCCTTTTCTTCATCCTGCTCGCCCCACTTCATGGGACCCACCTCCTGTGTCACCCCACATGTCCTCTAAGATTCTTCTCAGGAGTCTGGAGAGATGGATCGGTGGTCAAGAGCACACACTGCTCTTGCAGAGGACATGAACTGTCAGGCCTCTGTAGCTCCAGCTCCAAGGGACCCACTGGTCCCTGTGGGCACCCCCACTCTCAGGCATATACCAACCTCTGCTACCTCCACACATACACACATAATTAAAAAAAACATTTTTAAAGAGCTCTTTTGGAGGCACAGCTATCTGGGACAACTGGGCAGGTCCAGGTCCTTGGAAGGAGACACAAGCTGGCTGTGGGCAGGGTGAGGTACCAACTGTCAGATGCAGTCCGATTGCCCCCAGGCCAGATGTGGGGACCCTGATAGAAAACCCCGGGTCTCCAGTGGGTGCTGGAAACCCCAGAGTATCGATGCTGTGTACACTGGGTTTTCCCTGTATATGCATGCTTATGATAAATGTTGACCCCTGCAAACACTTTATGGCTTCTCTCTAGTCCATTTGCATCACGAGTATCTACCTCTGGGCCTGGACAAGGCGATAATTCAGTGTCCTGGCAGGATGGAGTGAGATGGTGCCTGATTTAAACAAGTTCCCCAGAACAGCATGCAATTTAAACATTGTAAACTTTTTTGTTCCCGGAATTTTCCATTTGATATTTTCACATCACAGACCACAGGTATTCTGAGGAGAAAGGAAAACCGAACCTAAGGGAAACCTTCCTGTTTCCTAACTCTGACTCTCTTGTGGAAGTCACGAAGGCTGGGAGAGTCGTTTGTTTCGTTGGCTCTGGCCTTCTGTCTTCCTCTCCGCTCTGGAAGCATCCAGCACCTGACTCCTACTCATCTTTGCATTCGTTTTTTTTTTTTTTCTAGGAAAGTCTTTGTGTACCTGTTCACAGCTGTGCGGGAGTGGGGACGAGTGAGCAGGAGACAATTCCCACCGGGGTTGGCTGACTCCGTGGGCTGGTGGTGCTCTGGCAGTGAGAACGGCGAGCCTGGGGGCTGGAGCAGAGGGGTGGCACGTGGTGCTAACTGAATGTGGACGATGGCCTATCGTTCCCCGATGGCTGAGTGGCAGCCGATGGCGTGAGGGCTTGCGTCCTGGGGCGTCACAGTGGCAACAATTCCACAACTCTGACCCCAGGGTGGAGACCCCCAGATGGGCCGGGGCCACAGTGCCTACAGTGTGGGGTTGTGGAAACTGGGCCCAAGAGCCAGGGCATAGAAGTCCTGGTTGGAGAGCTGGCCCTTCCCTTCCCATTGATGAGTCTAGTCTCTAAGCATGGAAGCAGAGGGGGTCTCCTAGGAGGCTCACTGGATGTCCCACAGGGACCTCAAGATGAGTGGTCACCCTCCCGGGAGGGATAGATGCGTCTATATGAGGAAGGCTGATTGCAGGAACATTCCCAGGAACTCCTGGAAAGGGCTCACCAGCAGGAATGGACCTCAGTGCTGATGGCAACAACCAGTTCTTCCTGTGTGCTCACGGCCTCATGGTTCTTTGAGGCCAAGCCTCTGAATATGCCTTATTTAAATTTCAGAAGTGTCTGAGGCATAAACACTGTCATTATCCTAACTCCCAGATGAGGAACGGCATCTCATGCCATTAATGTCATTGGCTCTGAATCCTACAGGTAGGGGAGGTGGAGGTGGAAGCCACACAAAGGTCGGGAAGAAGTTCTGTCCACCAGAAGGTAAAGGAAGGGCAGGCTCCAGAGGCAACCACCAGGTGGCGCTGCTGCTACAAGAATGAAGCATCAAGACCCCGCGCGAGGTGGGCAGGCTAGGGAGCGGTGCCCGCCCCTCTGCTCCTCCAGGCTGGGCGGCACATCTGACTTGCAGTTGGGCAATGGTAACCCTCTGGGCCCCAGACACAGCCTCTGGGGCCTCATCCTAAACAAACCAATTAAGGCTTGTGCAAAAAGTTGTATTCCAACCGCTGCTCCCTGACACTTGGACCGTTTGCGGTGGAATGAGCTGAATTATTTATATTCTTCCCTCCTTCAGTCAAGGAGACAGGAAAATGGAATCTGCCACCAGGACGCCAGTCTCCATGCTTGGCAACAGGGAGGCTCTGCAGTCTGGGTGCCGCCACATGAGCACACAGGCCACACACCCAATCCTGGGGCCGCAGACAGGTGGCGTGGAGCTGGAGGTGTGGGGCACAGGCTGGTGCTCTACTGTTCTTGGACAATTTGACTCCTTCTCTGGGCCCAACCTGAGCACTCAGCCGAGAGCCCAGGGGCGTTCGCCCGTGACAGTGTCGGCAGGGCATACGGTTTGTAACAGTCAGCGTTAACGTCCATTTGACAATCTGTGATCACCCGGGAGAGCCACCCGTGAGCATGCCGGTGAGTGATTGTCTTGATTCTGCTCATTGAGGTGGGAAGACACACCCACCCTGGTGGTGCCATTTCCTGACTGGGCGTCTGGACTGTATGTACGAGAGGGGACCCAAACGGAGCTAAGTATTGGTTGCTCTTCGCTTTTGACTGTTGATGTGACATGACCAGCTACTTCAAACTCATGCTACTGTGACTTCCCCCGCCATTGTGGACTGTGACCTGGAACTGTAAACTGAAATAACAACCCTTCCCCTTAAGTCGCTTTGGTCAGAGTATTTCATCGCGACAGCAGAAAGAAACCAAGACCCCGTCCATGCCCACAAGTCCCCCTTGTCCTGGTCCACGCTGGCAGGGACTGCGTGGCCCACTCAGCGGCACAAGTGCTTCGGGCGCTAAGGATATCTGGCTTCAGCTGCTACCAAATCCATCCCAGAATGCCCTGGCCCCAGGAATCCTCAGGCTAGCCCTCCCAAACAGGCAGGGGACAGGGAAGCAAGCGCAGGGGTGAGGTTCATTTGAGCAGAGCTCACTTCAACACTTAATCTCAGTGTTGCTGACATTTGGGGGCCAGTTAACGTGTGTGTGTGTGTGTGTGTGTGTGTGTGTGTGTGTGTGTGTTATGTGTGTGTGTAGGGGAGGGGTGTTCTGTCCTGAGCATCTCCCAAGTTATAACAGCCAAAGTGTCTCTAAACATCACCTTGAGTCCACCAGTTGGGGACAGCAGAGTGGCAGAGTCACCCTTGGTTGGCGGCGTTGGCCAGAGGGGAATGTCACGGCATGGGGGAGGGGAAGCTGGGGCAGTTCTTCCAAGGGCTGTGCCCTCCAGCCCACTAGCATGACAGAATCTGGCTTATCCTCTAGGGACAAAGTGGCTGCCATGTATGAACGCCCGCCCCCCCCCTCCCCGGAGCCACATCCTCCTTGTCATATGGATGGTGACAGTGATTATAGGTGTCCCCCTTATTACCGGGAGGTACCTACCAGGACCCCCACCAGGCTGCCTGAAACGGTGGACTGTGCAGGGCTCTGAGGATACTAGGTATGCGCTGGGCTTCCTCCCAGACACACCTCCCCGTGACAGAGTGTAATTTACAAATGAGCCACCCCGAGATGAACAAGACCACTAAGGTGGCGTGATTGAAACATACGATGTCCTGACAGTTCCGTGGTGTGCCCTCTTTGAGGAGAAACAACTTTGGCTCACGGGGCACCAAAGCTGGTCAGGGAGGGGCTGTGGATAAAGCCGGCTGACTCCACAGAGGAGTGGGGCGGAGAACAGCACAGCCCTGTGGGGGGCTTCTGACGGTAGAACCCCAAAAGTCTCCACTCTCACTGCCCCCACAGTTCCAGTCATTGCTGCCAAGTGTTGGGGTTCTACAGACTTCCTCTTCCCGGAGAAACCAAGGCTCTGTGATGTTCAGTACCTCATTCAAAGTCCCGCAAGTGCCCATGGGCCGGGACAAATGCCCAGAACAGAGCCGACGGTTCAACCCAAGCTCTACCACACCCAGCCTGCCTGCCTGCCGCTGGGGTATCCCCCAAATCTGGGGTCTTCTGATCCCAGCTGTGCATACAAGATAGTGTGGGTGGCTTAAAGGTCATGGTATAGACGCCTCCTAGAACACCCAAAAGAGAGAGGGCAGGAAGGCATGGCCTTCCGAGAAAGCCAAGCTGCTAGAACGGTGTTCAAAGCGGAGTGGGTCTCCTGTTGTGTTCTAAAAGTCAGAATTCACATGCTGGAAACTAATTTCTAGTGCAATAATATTAAGATGTGGGACCCTAGGAGGCCATCAGGCCAGGAGGACAAAGTCCCCTGAACTGGAGCGGCTCTGCTTAGCATTGATCTGAGACCCGTCCTTTCTGCCACCCTGTGAGCATGCAGCTGTCTGTGAGGACTCCAGATCTGCTGGAATTCTGAACTTGGAATTCTCAGCCTTCAGAACTATGAGGTACAAACTTCTCTGGTTTATTAAGCATCCGATCTAAGGTATAGATCGGACAAAGCTCAAATAGACACCCCCCAATGGCAGTGTCTAGCCCTAATAACGTCTCATCTACTCTAGACCCAAAGACATCTGGGTGAGAAGGTGTGTCGAGGCTGAGTAGGGACTGGTCATTATGTCTTGCCCCCATCGGGATGCCAGAGGGCCTTTCCCAGGCTAAAGTATAGATTGTGCACAGCCCTCCTGGGTCCCTGATGCAAGGCTACCTGGAAGAAGCCTCCGCTTCTCATCTTAGCCCCTCTGTGGCTGATATCCGGGAACACACGGCAGGAACCCAGTGGGGCTGCTGGTCCAAGGCTTTCCTCCCACATGTCTCTGCCTTCTACTGACAGACCAAGAATGTCTGACCTTTCACCCTGAATGCTGACAAATTCCAACAAGCCTCCCATACCCTGTCTTGAGCTGGCCTCCACACGATACCTTCTGTCCTCGGAATGTCCCCAAGTCTCTCATCTCCATTTCCTTTGATTTCCATCATCCAAGGAAATATTTAAAATGAGAACACTTGAGTAGCTTTGGTTCCTTCTCAAAAAATCAATTGAAAAGCCAGTTGCTACGCAACCCACGAGTGCGGCTGATGCTCGGCTCCCTGGCTGGTGGCATATTGTGTAAAATAAGATAATCTCTTTTCTTCTGTTTTTTTTTTTTTTTTTTTAAAGAAATGGAGAAAAATGTTGTTTTAGGAAAAACTTGCGATGACTCGGAGGCCTCCCATAAGCTAGAGAGAAACAACATGCCACTCGGGTAAGTATTGCCAACTTTACCCCCACTGGAGTCCAGTGGGACCCGGGACAAGGCAGGGAGGGACCCGGATGAGGGGCCTGGTACACTTCCAGTGACAACTAGGAATGACTAGTCGGAGCTGCGGGCCTGAGACACTTTCTGCCAAAGACCAGGCGATGGCTTCACACCCCGGGACGCCCTCTGACTGTGGTAGGCAGCCTGGGTGCAGCCACCTTGGTCTGGGAGGGCTTAAGCTCTTGTAGAGAGGAAGCCTCGTTCTTTTTATTAGTCACCTCTTCCGCGGCTGTGACAGCGGGCTTGACAAAGGTCACTTAAAGGAGGAGGGGTTTACTTTGGCTCTCAGTTTCAGGGTGCATGAAATGGAAGGGAAGTCACCATGGCAGGAACGGAGGGCAGCCGGTCACGTGACGTGGAGAATCCGGAAGCTCTCTTTCCTTTCTCCTTTGTATTCAGGACCCCAGCCTACGCGATGGTGCCACCCACATTCAGGGTGGGTCTTCCAACCACACTTAACCAAATCTAGAGAGCCCCAGAGACTTGTTTCCATGGTGAATATGAATCCTATCCAGTTGACAATCAAGTTTAACTGTCACAGTCCCCAGCGGGAACCCAGAAGTCCCATGCAGAATGTCTTCCCAGGATCCATCTGTTATTGTGAACCACGTCCCGTCCCTAGAGTCCCATCTAGCAGCCCAGCTTTGCTTTCCCCATGACTGAGTCTACATGGGGAGAGGGTAGGGGCAGCACACACTGAGCCTCTTGGCCCTCGGGGCTCTGCCTGGCCACTCTGTCCGAGGTCTGCCTCACCTCGTTGTGTTGGCTTCCTGGTGCTGGCGTCTTGTCTGTGACTAGACAAGGAGCAGCTGCATTGCTCTTGTGCCTGCACACCACAGGACGGACTTGGGAGGCCAGGGCTCCTGAGCTCAGAGTACATCTCCTACAACCATGGCACTCTTTGGAAGCCCCAACACAGAAAGCCTCGCTTGCCCCGGAGCTACACAAGATAGTCTGTGACCCGTGGCTGCAGATGCCGCCTGCACAAGATAAGTGCAGAAATGAGAAACTTTCATAAGTAACTGGAGGGAGTGAGAGTCTCGGAAAATTTATGGAGTTTAATCACTTAAAAAAAAAACAGGGATATTTTTTTAATATCTTGGGCTCAGCCACATTTGCCTTTTCTAATAATTCATCTGCAGAAGTTATTGGTGTGCGATCAAGTAGGGCTAGAGGCTGGATCCTTGCTTGGCCAGGCTCTGTGGGCCCTTCCAGCTGCTCTGGAACGGAGCACCCCTGTCCTGTGTGGCCTGGGGCCCCAGGGGGCACACAGCCTTTCCTTGCCGATGTGGCTTCTGGCCCTGCAGCCTGGGGCTGTTGGTCCACAGCCAAGCGCCAGGCCTCTTGCTATTTAGCTCTATGCTGTCCCCCAAGGGGTCTGTTAAAGACTTGGTCACCTGTTGAGGTGTCATTGGGGTGGCAGACCCTTTTGGAGGAGGAGCCTAGTCGGAGGAAGTTAGGTCACTGGGGTCACACCCTAGGAGACGGGGCTACAACACAGCTCTTCCCTTTGCTTCCCAACTTCTTCCCAGCTCTAATCTGGAGGTGAGTACCCTTCGCTCACTCACTCCATGTTCCCTCCAATGCTCTTCTGTCACTAAAGGTTCCAAAGCCACAGGTTGAACAGCCATGGTCTGGAACCTCTGACCTCGTGAGCTGGGTTGCATTTTTCCTTCCTTTAAGTTATCTGCCTCGGGTATTTTGGTACAGCTACTAAAAGCTAACTAGCACCCTTCTGTGGGTTTCTTCCATGTTCTGGTCTGAGCATGTTCATTTCCAGCTTTGAAACCTTCTCCATGCAGCCCAGCTGCGGTCTGTGCTCACTCTCCTCCCTCCACGCCAGCTCTCCAGATTGGCAGTCCAGCACCACGTCCTCCTAACATGATTTCCTTGTTTGCATTTCTACATCCTGCTGTGGAATATTCCCTTACACTGTGTGAATATACATTGCTGTGATTGGTTTAATAAACAAGCTGACTGGCCAATGGCTGCATAGGATCCAGTTAGGCAGAAAAGCCAAACTGAGAATGATGGGATGAGGAAGGGAAGAGTTAGAAGAGATGCGGGCAAAAAGCAGAGAATGCTGTATTGAGAAAAGATACCAAGCCATGTGTCTAAACATAGATATGGTTAATTAATATAAGAGCTACCTAGCGATAAGCCTGAACTATTGGCTGAGCTTTTATAATTAATATAAGCCTCTATGTGGTCATTTGGGAAGCGGCTGCCGGGTATTTGGGAGCAGGCAGTCAGGAAATCCAGGATACCAAGACTCCCAAGCTGGATTCACTTCCTGTCACAGTCCAAGAGCATTCCATTCCAGAGACCAGGGCAGCAAGCTGTCCCTGCACTGTCTTGCCACAGGACACACACTTGTTCTGAAATGTTCCTATTTGTAATGAAACCCAGAACCATCCTGTCAAATATCCAGTTCTTAACCTGGAAAAACCAACATCTCTCCTCTCTTGGTCTTTCTAGAAGAAACAGTGACCTACGCTTTTTATTTCCCTGTCATGAACAGTGTACCCTTTCTTTCTGTGTGTCCTAGGTCTGTCTTGTACCACCTCAGAGACATGTGGGTAACTGTGATGCAGGGGACCTTAACAAAATTATGTGTATGTATGTGAGTGTGTGTGGGTAGATGTGCACCATGTGCGTGCAAGACACCACAGAGGCCAGAGAAGGGAGTCGGTTTCTCTAGAACTGGAGTTTCACTCAGTTGTGAGTCACCTTGTAGGTGCTGGTAACCAAGTCTGGTCCTCCCCGGGAGCAGTAAGCACTTTTAACCTCTGAACCATCTCTCCAGTCTTGGTGCAGGGAACTTTGCTCTCTAAATTAGCCCTGCTACTCGGGTGTTGTTAAGTCACAATGTCTGCATATGAACTTTCAGTCAAAATCAGACAGTGTATATGATAGTGGTCTCATGTGATGATATCACCTAGTGACATCCTGGCCATCTTAGTTTGAGGACACCGTGATGTTAGCACAATGGCAAATTGCCTGTTTACACATTTCTCATATACCCATTAAGTGACTCACTGGGTTTGTCTGTATCACTAAGGCTTTTGCTCCATGGATTTTACAATGGATTCTCCTGGGTTTTAACAGAAAACAATTATAATTTTGTCTGCTCTTCTTGGATATTAGTTTCCTGCTATTTAAATCTGTCTAAGAAAAAAACTTAAATCACAGTATGAGAACCACTTATGTGCCAGTAACTTATGGGTTTTTATTGCTTACACTTGTGTGTGTGTGGTGAGTACAAGTGAGTGTGTGTGGTGAGTGCGTGTGTGATGAGTGTGTGTGATAACTGAGTGTGTGAGTGTGTGTGTGGTAAGTGTGTGTGTGGTAAGTGTGTGTATGAGTAAGTGTGGTGAGTGTGTGTGTGTGTGAGTGTGTATGGGGGGTATGTGTGGTGTGTGTGTGAATGTGGTGAGTGTGTGTGTGTGGTGGTGTGTGTGAGTGTGACAAGTGTGTGTGTGAGTGTGGTGAGTGTGTGTGTGTGTGTGTGTGTTATGCATATGGAGGCAGGAGGTCAACGTTGGGTGTCTTCCTCAATTGCTCTTCACCTTATTTTTGAGTCAGGGTCTATCCTGGACCTGGATATCCTGGCCTAGCTTTGTTGGCTGGTCAGTGATCTCCAGGGACCCTCCTGTATCTCCTGCCCTCATTCAGGGGTTATAGACATGTCCCACCATGCCCAGATTGTTTCTAAACCAATGCTAGGGATCCAAATTCAAGTCCCCGTGTTTGCTTGGAAGAACCCACTCGTTGCTGGTTTTACCGCCACTGCCTCATAGGTGGCATTTTTCCAAAGCAAATTCTGTGGAATGAAACTGTCTGGAGGAAAGGATCCCACTGTGAAAGAAGGGGTTTGAAGATCGATGTGTCCCAATGTGTCCCATCGAGCTTCACTCCGCATGTTCCAAAGTCCCTGGGACATGCAGCCATGGGGAGCACCTGTTCCTTTGCTTTAGGAGTACTGTCTACCCCCTGCTTCCTGTGTACACATCTATTACCATTCAGCTGCACAGAACATCGTCAGGGAAACTTGCTTCTTTTCCCACCTTTAAAACATTGGCAGTCTACCTATCATCTTGGGACTTTTTTCAAAACTTTAAAAACAAGGGAGCCTCCCCCGCTCTATGCACCAGTCACCCCTGTTCTGCCCATCTGTCTTCATGTCACCTACGGTCTTTCTCAGCTGCCACCTCACATGGCCTACTCCCCTGTGCAAACATTTCTCATCTCCATCTCAACACTCCAGGTTTCCCTGGGGTTCCAGGCCCAGGTGCTCACCACCTATCCTGGCCACATCGACTGGGCCACCACGCAGCCGGCACACCTCAAGTGAACTCATGAGCTTCTCCCCTCCCCACATCAACATCTGACCTTGCATTTCCTGTCCTGAGTAGGCCCAGTCAGTCTTTCGTCACTGTGATAAAATGCCCATGACAATAAACTTTGTAAACCAAAAAGGTTCCCTTAGCTCGTTGTTTTTGGAGGTTCAACGTCCAAGAGCCTTGTTGATATGTCCTCTGAGGAGGGTGACACACCACGGCAGGAACAAGTGGCCACATCTCCAATGGGAGCAGAGGCAGACAGGAGGCAGAGTCCTGCATCCCTTTAAAGAACACACCCCAATGACCAAAGACCACCCACATGCCGCAAGTTCCACCTCCTCCTCAGGTAGTGCCACCTGAGGGTCAACACTTTGGGAATGGGACTTCAGATGACAACACCTCGAACCACAGCAGGTCAACTCATCTACCTGAGTGTCTCTCTCCCTGCACCCACCCGCACCCAGGTGCTCTCAATGTGGTCTCCCAGCACACTCTGTTATCTGCCTTCCTTTCTCCTCCATCGTAGCCATGTTCCAATCTACACATCTTCCCGTTAATGACAATAGTGTCCTCAGTGCAGGGACCCTATTAGAAATGCAACAGGTCATGTCACTCTAAGAAAGCCAAATTCCATGGCAGAGACATATGGACCCCTGTACTGTGATCTGCCTTTATTTATTTTTGAGACAGGGGCTCATGTATACCAGGCTGGTCTCAAACTTACTATATAGCTAAGGATGACCTTGAACTCCTGCTCCTCCAGCCTCCGATCCAACTCAACAGCTCTGAGATTATGGTTGTATGCCAGCCCCTACCCTCACCCCTGTTCATACAGTGCTGGGGATAAAGCCAGGGCTTTGTGCCAATCAGGCAAACACTTTACCAACCAAGCTACATCTTCAGCTCCAATCTGGCTTTTTAAATTTGTTTGTTTATGTGTGTGTAGGAGAGTGTGTATGCACATATGTGTGTGCATGCCTGTGTACATATGTAGGTCAGAAGGGGATGCCAGTGTTCTCCTCTCTAACTCTCTATTCCTTTAAGGCAACCTCTCTCTCTCTCTCACTCTCTCTCTATCTTTCTCTGAACCAGACTGCCAGAAAAGCCTAGCAATCCTCCTGTCTCTGTCTCCCTTGGAGCTGGGGCTTCAGGCATTTGCACAGACACCCAGCTTATTATGTGCTAATGCGAATCCAAACTCCAGCCCTCAGGTTGCAGAATGATCTGAACCGTGAACCGTCTCTCCAACCCCCATGGCCTGACCATGTCAGCATCCGTGTCTGCTACCTCCATCCTGGTATTCTTTCCTCCACTCTCTGCTATTCTCTGTCCTTCCAGCACAGAGCTGGAAGGCTTACCCCCGTACAGCATCCAGACTAGGAGACAGACAGACACTGTTCAGGCCTCAAAGGATCCATGGCTTTGTGAAGCAACAAAACTTGCAGTTTTTAAACTTTTCCTTTTAACTAGTATGGTGGGGACCAGGCAGGGAATGAAAGCTGTCACCTGTTGCCCAGACCAACGTTACAGAAAACAGACCAACCTATGGCAAGCTTTCCTCCCTTTCTGAACAGATCATACGTACCATAAAATCAGGGGAGAATGGAGACCATTACAGAAAGCCACAGCCAATCAGCATGCAGAGTTGTGGAGTCCAGTCCCCATGGATACATCTACAAAGTCCACATCTAAGGCTCGGGGGACATTGCATAAGAGGGGGTGGGAAGACTGAAGGGCCAGAGGGCCAGGAAGTTTCCCATGAGACTGTGTCTCCCAGCAGTTGCAGAGGCACCCATAAAGTCTCACCAACAAGACTGTAAACACGAGCTGAACAATGTCGCAGACCAATAGAGATGCTAAACCACAGGGAACCTCAGGCAGCTACGGAAAGCTGAGAGCAGGAGAGACAGTCTTCTCCAGGGAAGAGCCCACCAACTGGCCATCTGATATTAAATGGTCAGCCATGAAAACACACATACAAGTACAATTATTCAGACTGAGCAGTTTATATCTAGGAATATATATGTATATACATATATGCACGTAAAAACAATGAATGGAAATGAGGCCATGAACTTGATAGAGAGCAAGGAAGGGGGCATAGAAGTCTTTGGAGACATAAAAGGGAGGCGAGAAATGATATAATTACAATCTCAAAAATAAATTTTAAAAAAGACAAAAAATATAAATGCCTACAAAAAATTAAAGTTTATGGTTTTGTTTGAAAAGAAAAAGCAGAGGGAAGGACATCAAGGACTTCAGCATTTCTGGCTTGAGGGAGCTGTGTTTGCTGGTGTAGTCTCACTCATTCCAAGGGACTATTAAGTAAGGAGACTATAAAACAATGCATGTTCGTATATTTTGAAATCAGTCTCTTTCAGTGTCTGTGTTCAGTGCGACTCTGCCTCACAGCTGTCCAAGGCAGCATGACCATGATAGAGTATGAATCCATTTTCCCAATTAAATGGAGGCAATCTCATCTCCATCCTTTCTGCCAAAAGCCTGGAAGTTACCACAACAGCAGAGGATCCAGGCCAGGATGGAAGAGCGGGAGTGAGCCAGTCTGGGGAAGTAGGGCTGGCTCTCCTGGAGGAAGGAGGAAAACTTCATATTGCTGTCATAAACATCATGAGCAGAAGCATCTTGGAGAGGAAAGGATTTATTTGGCTTACATGTACTGATCACAGCAGGTCACTGAGGGACGTCAGGGCAGGGACTCAAGGAAGGAACCTAGAGGCAGGAACTTAAGCAGAGGCCATGGAGGAGCGCTGCTTAATGACGTGCTCCTCATGACTTGTTAAGCTTGATTTCCTATACCATCCCAGACGAACTGTCCAGGGGTGGCAGGCTGAGCCCTCCCATATTGATCACCCGTCAAAAGAAGTGCCCTACAGACTTGCCAATAACAGGCCAATCTTACGGAGGCATTTTCTCAGTTGAGGTTCCCTCTTTCCAGATGAGCCTGGCTTACATCAAGTTGACAAAAAAAAAAAAAAAAAAAAAAAAAAAAAGAAAAGAAAAAGCTAATCATTACGAGACTGTTGGGGGTGCCCACAGCATGGCAGAATCTCCCCACAGCTTCCTGGCGGAGCGGATGGCCTTCAGTGCTTCCCCTCCTCCCAGGAGACGTGAGATGCACGTTTCCTTACAGTCATCACAAGTAACCTGGATGAGAGGGCTTGCTTCCAGCCCCACCCCCCACCCTGGACACCCAAACCCATGGGTGCACAAGTCCCTTATCAAACCACCCCATCTACAGTCGCAGTTCCAATATTCTTCCAAGTCAGTTTTAAAAAGTGTTTTCAAGGCCTGGGGTTGTAGCTCAGTTGGTAGAGTGCTTGCTTAGCATGCTCAGAATCCTGGGTTCAGTCCCCAACATCACATAAACACAGGGGGGCTAGCACACGCCTGTAACCCAAACGCTTGGGAGAAGGAGGCAAGGAGGATCAGGAGTGCAAGGTCATCCTTGGCTACATAGGGAATTTAAGGCTAGCCTGGGCTACATGAGAACCCGTCTCAAAAGCAAAAGAAAGCTTTTCAAAGTGGTTCAGTTGTTTTTAGGTTTGTAAGCATTCTCCTGTCACCTCTGGTCAGGCTTGGAGCACATCTCTGGGAAAGGCTTTCCTTTCTAGTCATAGGAAACGCCCTGACATTTCCGTCATGACTTAAACACGTGTGTCACTTTAAAGCATCCTCCGGTTCCACAGAGAAGAGACAAGGACAAATGACATCATCACCACTGCGACCGCTTGATCCCCGCCATCACTCTGACTCCCAACATGCAAATCCTAAAGAGCCTGAGTGCGGTATTAAACATCCCCTCAGTCAGCTCTTTGCTGCTCTCTCCTTTGTGCCTAATAGCTTTCTTTGGAGCGTTGTCTCTGAGCCCAAATAAATCCTTCCTTAAATTGCTTTTGTCGGGCATTTTATCACAGTAACAAGAGTAACTACCACCCTCCGGGGCTGTGGGGGAAGGGGCTCGGCGTTTAAGAGCAAGAGGAGGCAGGTAGGGTCGGAGGGACCTGGTGGAGCTGAGGACGGGAGGTCTGAGAGGCGAGCACAGGTTTTCGACGTGCTCAGAGAGGGATGGAGGGCACGGGACCCAGGAATTCCTGAGCGCTCTGATGTCTGATGTTACAAACACTGACAGATAACAGCAAATCATTTCAGGGTTTTTCTCAAAAAACCAACCATCCAGAACCCCTATCCCCTCAAAGACAGAATTCCTGTCTCAGCTCAATCTCGCTTTAGTCTTGTGTGTCTGTCTACACTCCGGGCTGCCATCCACTTGCCCTGATTCCTCGGGGCCAATTCTAGGCACCTTGGGGCAGGCAGTCTTGTTCAGGAATCTGCTGAGACTCTATGGTGAGGCTACCATGTGTCTGCTCACTGCCTCCCTCTTTCCTACCCTCAGAGACTACAGCAAGAGAATCCCAGTGTTCTGGGCACACCCATGCTGTCTGTGTCTCGGCCTCTGGGGACCATGGCTCTCTCTGCAGTGGTAGGGCCCACTGGTCTGTTGGCCATGTCACACTGTATAACCTGAACAAAGAGTCTTTGATCATGGTGAAGGGTACAAGGAGTCTGGGGGGGGAGGGCGGGAGCTCACAGCTTCTTGCTTGTTATAGGGCCATAGGGTGTCCAGGGAAAGGCAGGGTGGTATGGGAGAGCAAGCAGTCTCAAAGAAAGGCCAAACCTCATTTTCAGGGCCCCATTCATTCCAGAGAGTATCAGACAGGAGGACTCACCTTGGCGTGGCTCAGCAGGATAATCCTCACCAGCACAACATTGATGTGGGCCCCCAAGGACTCATCATGGTAGATTTCATTGACCTGAAAGACAGCCAGGGAGATATCAGCAGGAACTATGGGCCAAAGACCACTCCAGCTGTGCTCCTGACATCTTGTCCCTAAGCCCCCAGGTAAGAACCCAGGGGCCCTGCTTGTCTTTTTCTCTTTGCATATTTATCTCCAACATTTGTTCAACTCTAAACTGCCTCTAGATCCATCCCTCTATGACTCTCCCTGCCCCTGGATGCTACTACCACCTGCCTGGATTTCTGCAGTGGCCTCCTGAGACATCCACTTCCTGGCCCATAGTCTGCCCTCAGAGCTGAACCTGGACCACAGAATTCACATCAGCTCTCACTGAAGCATGGCTTTCCCTCCAGAAGGAATGAAACTGTCAGAGTAGAAGTCGTTCCTGGTTGTGGCTACTCTGTGAAATGTTACCTGTGCACATTGCTACATATCCCACAGACTCTGTGTCCAAGGATTCAACCAACCCCAGAACAAAAATATTTGGGGAAAAGTTCACAGAAAATGTATAGACTTTTTCCCTTGTCATTTCCTTCTAAACAACACAATAGCCAGTTACATAACATTTATGCTTTATGAAGTATTATAAGTCATGTAAACATCACTTGTGTGTGGGAGTGTGTGTGTGTAGGTTAAACACAAACACCACAACATATTACTTTGGGAACTTGAACTCCTGAAAGGCATTCTGGAGCTGAGCCCTTCAATGCTCAAGGATGCTGAAGGATGCCGCACTTGGAAATGTGGACCACTTTGAACCCATGACGAGTTCTTCCTTCATCCTGTTAACGGGGAGCAGTTATCACTAAGTCTCTTACTCTGCCTTCCTTGTTCTCTGTCATGCCTGTCATGGTCTTCTTTCACATTTTGAGCACTATTTTATTTTTGTGTGCTTTTTAAAAAACACTTAAAAACATTATTCTGGGGGCTAGGGAGATAGCTTAGTAGATAACAGTGTCTGTTGTGTAAGCATGAGATCCTGAGTTCAAATCCCCATGCCCACATGAAAAATGGCCTTGCCTGTACTTGTAATCCCAGGGCTGGAAGGGGGGTGGTGATCCCTATGGCTCCCAGCTGCCAGCCTAGCTCCAGGTTCCGAGAGAGACTCTATCTTAAGAGGATAGCTTGAAAAGTAAGAGTGGAACACCCAATGTCATCCTCTGGCTTCTGTAGCACCCAGGCATGTGTACCCGCCCCCCCCACCCCCCACCCCCGAGAGAGAGAGAGAGAGAGAGAGAGAGAGAGAGAGAGAGAGAGAGAGAGAGAGAACAGAAACAAAAACATTAGCCTTAGCAGGCATCTGTAGGCGTCCCCAGGTGCCCACAGCATAAAAGGGCAGGAGCACGAACTCCCACGGTCTACAGCATGGCCACCACCATCTAGAAACACATGCTAGGCTAACCTCAGGCTCAGCGCTGTTGAAAGCTTCCTTGCCATGGGGTCACCCCCCTCTTCCCACCTCACACTCAGAACTTTGTGGAATAGCCCTTCACTGCACTGGCTGGGCAAACGCTGTTCCTTCTTGTAGTGCAGGCTAGGGGTCAATTTTTCTTTGAAGGGACGCTCAAGGTTCAGACCTCCTCCTATGGAGAATTGGTACCCCATCCTTCTTAAGTCCCACTGTGTTGAGGAATAGAACATCCATTTAACTATGTAAAGAAGTGCTGCATTTGTTTATGCTGCATTTGTTTAACTAGGTAAAGATGTGTTGCTGTTTCAGTAAATAAATAAACAAATAAATAGGACACGGCTCCTTTAAGAGGCTCTGCCATACAGGGAGCACTTGAGCGGCCAGTGCATTAAGTAGAAACAACAAGCTAAGTGAAAACACCTGCCACAGTACCGGCACCAACTACCTAGAGCTAAATTCAGCTCTCCCTTAAACACAGATCCCAGTTGAACGCAGCTCTCAGGCAGGCCCACAGGCATAAGGCTAGCTCTCTTGGGCAGGGGTGGGGGTGGGGCAGGCAGCCAGGGCTGGCAGGGAGCAGCCAGGGGCTAGCTAGTCAGCTAGGGGGCAGACAGAGAGACAGACATGGAGGAAGTAGGACAAACAGAATGAAAGAAAAGTAAAAAGCCCCGAGGCAAAATGTAGATGAAGAGAAACAGGTTAAATTAAGTTATAAGGGCTAGTGGGGCAAGTCTAAGCCAAGGCCGAGCATTCATGACTAACAAGTCTCTGTGTCATGATTTGGGAGCTGGTGGTCCCAGAAAGCCTGCTACATCACTGCCACTGAGCTTCGCCTCAGTCCTTATTGCCCTTCCTTGGATGCCTCTCCCCCCAAGGCCCAGAGCAGAGCAGCACATGGCCAGCAAACACTTGCTGAAGGAAGAAAATCAGTGGAGTCACTGAGGGGAGCATGGACCAGCCGCACATGCCGTCTGTATGCAGACCGGACCCAGAGGCTTCCCACGAGCCCTCGATGGACGAGCAGGGCTAAGCTGCACCAGCCAGAGCCCACCCCACCTCAATATTCAGGTTTTTCGTAATTGCTCCCTCTAGACAGCGGGAAGATGCCTTAGGAGTCTGAGCAGAATAAGGAAAAGCAAATCATCACGGTGATGGATGGGGTGGAGAGGGACCCGGGGCTTGTGAGACACACAGCCCAGTGGCCGCTGCTGTCACCACAGCGCGTGGATAAAGATGGCACCCATCAGAGCAGAGAGCTAACGAGCTCACTGGTCCCCAACCGATGCCACCCCTGATCCCAACACCCAGGCTCTGCCAGGAACTTCTGCACGGACAGACAATCTCTGGTTATAGGTTGGCTTCTGGTCTCTTGCCCGCCTCTCCTTTGGCGAAGAAGTGCAGGAGCATGGTTGACATAGCATCATGGCTCCGTGCTGTGTGCTCATCTTGAGTACCCCCAATGTACTGTCTGTCTGGGCAGCAGGGCACTGGCGCCTGAGGACCATCTACTCAACACTCAAGCACCCACCTTAGCACCTGCAGCTCAGAAAGCAGAGCCCAAGGGCTGTGCCACCTCGCCCACTGCCCACAGCCCGCTGCCCACCTCACTCACCGCCCCCTGCCCACCACCCATAGCCCACTGCCTCCTTCATAACATCAGAGTGGACGTGTGTCTCACAGAGCTCCTGCGAGGACCCGATTTCCACACACACGATGGAACAGTGTTTATGGAAACCCAAACTGTATTTTTCATACTTGGCAAACGGTATTGCTCCACTGTTCTGCATGAGGTCTGGGGAGTGGGTGGACCCCCCCCCCAAACCACAGGCACTGCTGCCTCAGCCTTGAGGCCCAAGCTAGATTTTCTTTTTCAGTCTGTGCTGAGACAACAGCTTTAAAAACCAGATCTTTTACTCAAGGAAAAAAGGAGTTGTCTTTATTTTTAATCGCGTTATCGATGATGAGCAAGGCCAGGTCATTATGGCCCCCAGACTTCTGCTGAGAATCACAGTTGGGAAAGGTGGAGGTCCAGGGAAGGTCCCACAGCAGCAGGAAGGAGCAGGGGAGGAAAAGCAACCTTGCAACCTTCGTCCTTAGTCTGTAGGGTCTTCCCCTGAAGGTGGGGACGGGGACAGGGTGAGTACAAAGCAGCCCCCATGGCCAAAAAGGAAAGGCACAGCCCACTTGGACACCTTGCTGCCTGTGCGTGTGAGAGGAACAGGTTCCCATCCTCACAGGTCACATGGAAACTCAACAGGCTTGCGCTGTGAGCAAGCCTGGCAGCGAAGCCAGCTCCCAGCCACGGGCAGCAGATACCAGGGGTTGCCTGAGGCCCATGGCACAAGAGCAGGATCGTTGTCAGTTTGTCTGGGCGCTGCCCAGTTAACGGTCAACTGGGGCACTGCCATGCTTCAGAGGGGGTCCAGGGATGCAGGCCTACAGGAGGGAAGGGTAAGCCTGTAGTGTGGCTGCTGTAGCAAGGATGAACCCCAGGTGCAGGTCCTCCGACTCAGGGACAGAAATCATGGGACAGATGTGTACTATACCGTCCACCCACACCCACAGTTTCCTAATGTGGGAGCAAGGAGTGTATGATAGAGACCAGTTATGCATCACGCCACTCACAGGATGAGATTTTTAATCCCTAATGTGATA